GGAACATGTCAGCGGGAAAGCATCTGTCAAACAAATGAGGAAGAACTGTGGGAGAGATTTTCTTTTTTTTAACAAGAGGAAAACATTATCTTTTCTCTCTCAGACCTGTTTGCATTTCCTCGTCCCTCTGCCTCCTCAGCCACACAGAGAGGATTCTCTCTGAGGCTCGGATAGGGAGCCTCACAAATCGACAGGCTTTGCTCTTTGCATCTGTCACTCCCTCTGCTTGGTTAAGCGTCAGGAAAATATCTGTGGTGCTGTGTGGTGGTGATTCGTGGGATTATTGATTCCAAAAGCAGTTGGTAATTCATCCTCTCCTGCCTCATGTTTTCAGTCCAGCTCAGGTCTTTTCCCCTCTTTTTGTCGTGTGTGGTTTGATTGCAACTTGTGATCTGAACCTAATTTATTATTGTCCTTAAAAAAATATATAACCAGTAGTCTATTCTAACCTCTATTAATTGCTAAGAGAATCAAGTATCTAGAAACTTCACTAAATTAATCTGCATACCGTTTATATGAAAGGGGGAAAATATATATGTTTTAAAGCTTTTTGAACATTTTGAGATTCCACCTCCATGTGTTGATTACTAAACTATGAGTAGGTCCAAACTAGATGTACATTTTATCCAAAATATTAAGCTAATTAATTTTGGGCCAATAAATAAAATATTTTAAATATTTTAAGCAAGGAAGTTGTCAACAGGTAGTCTTCCAAATGTGAAAGATGCACAAAAGATAAACCCCATTGAAAACCTCCTGCCAAATGTTGATTTCTGAGTTCTTAAAATATTAGTATTGTTGTTTCTAAATTAATATGAATTTGTTTTAATGCATTATTAAAAAAGAACTGCATTTTTTATTTTATTTTGACCATTTCTCATTTTCTGCAAATAAGTTTTTGCTTGGAATTTCAGAGACATGTTTTCAGAAGTTCATGGAATAAAAGAACAATGTTCATTGTACTCAAATATATTCCTATAAAAAGTAAAATCAGTAAAACTGATCGTTTTAAGTGGTCTCTTAATGTTTTCCATAGCTCTATGTAGAAGAGTTTTCAAAGTGATGATTAATGCTAAGTAAGTCACGGTAGGTTCAAGAACCTTGATTGAAGTCCAAGTTTTTACAAAATATACCACCCATGAAGACAGTAAATGTCAAACTAGATTTTACTCCAATTAAGTCACATAAAGACAAGTTAGTCTTTTATATAGTCAAATAGGGAATAAAAGTCAAGATAATTTACTGCAACGCATCAGCAGTTGTTTGACACAATTACAAATTGGATCCCAGACAGCGTTATGCAACTCCTGATGTGTCTTAGAGTAAAGATCAAGTTGCCTTATAAACTGTGCTCTGCTGATTTTCACTCAACACTGCCAGCAGTTAATTTAATTAAAAGCTGATTAATTGTTTAATTCAATTAGTTCTGACCTGCCCTTAGAGAACCACAGAAAAGGTTGTAAGAAAAAATTTATTTAATGAGCCGTGATACACTGCGGATTAAAGTCAACGTTATTTTCCTTACCTTTCGAAGTTCTTGATCCTTGGAAGCACGTAAATTAGTAACGCACCAGTCAGCTCTACAGTATTACTTTCTCTCAATTAGACAAAAGTCAAAAGTAGAATAAAAGAGTTTCAAAAGTAAAAATCTCAATGTTTTGCTTTAAAAACACCACATCTCTCTGCTTAATTGTCCTGTTTTGAGTTCAGAATACAGTAGACCAATGGTATATATGACCTACATGGAGTCTGGATGTTCTCTCTGGGTACTCCAGCTTCCTCCCACAGTCTAAAGATTTGCCAATTGGGTTAATTGATCTCTCTAAATCACCAGGCATGAGGATAATTGCCCTGCAAGAAAAAAAAACTGGACATGATCCTGAAGGGTGGGGGGTTGGCGCCTTACATGTCCACTCCGCCTACAAGAACTCTCTCGCGTGTTCGCCGTCAGCAGCATCTTAATTTGCAGAGCGGCTAACCAAACCACTCATCTGCACTTACGTGTCCATCTGTGATATGAGTATTTTCCCCTGTGTCAGTAACAAGTCTTCAGCTAGAAAGAACAGTTCATTATACAATCAAACTCTGATCAAACCTCTAGAGATTCACTAACTCCACTCTCCTCTCCTTGAGGAACAGAAAGTGTGTGTCCACTTCCAGACGCCAACACGGCTGATTCAAACTGTCCATCTACCTCCTTTTTATTGTCCCTAACAGTTGATTGAGATAAACTGATAAACTGTAAATGAAATAAAATGATAAAAAGAGAGAAATGCAACAATATATTCAAAACTACGTAATCAAAACAATTACAGTTTTTAAACATATGCACAGTTCTGGTTCATCTGTAGTCGATTCTTAAGCACTGAATGTCAGCTGTGGTCTTAAATTGGGATGATAATGAGCTCCAGCAGCCTGCTAATGAGCCATCATTTGATTCAGTTGTGTTGAACCAGATAAGAACTGAAACATACTGGGAACTGGCTCTGAAGGACTGACTTTGGACCCTGCTGCTCTTCAGACGACTGATTAAGATCACAGACTTCAGAATATGATCCAAAGTTTACAGTAAACTCCTGTTTCACCCAGGGAGCTCAAGGAGTTGAGTTACAAAATCAAAGTTTGTCATGTCACAGACGTCTGCTTTCGTTTTCTAATGAATCCAAAACATACAGTGTCGATCAAGAAACTTGTGGCTCTTGTTTTTCTGTCATGGAAATTTGACTGTTCATTAAAACAAAATGTGTAAACATTATCTTGTCTTAGTTGCAGTCTCTAGAAGACTATAGGAGGGTCAGTCTTTAAAGGAAAACAGGTATTGGTGTTGGCCAACTCTGAACTCTGACCTTAACTGAGGCGAGTCAGACTTTCAGTTCATTTAATGTAATTTTTTATTCTTTTTTGACCAGCAGAATGAGTTACTGACACGCTCAGGGTGTAATTTTAGTTGTCAGGTCACATCTGGAAGGACCAGCCATGTTTTCTACAAAAGCAGGTAAACCCAAACACTCAGAAACGACTTCCTTTCCAGATTCATATGTTGCTTTTTCAGATCTTTTCACCTACTGAATACTGTCAGACAATTGACTGTATAGCCAGGACAGCCGGAAATTCACAATAAACAAAATTGTTAATATGTGGAATCATTATTTGAAAATAACTTTCTGTTTTTACTATGGTTATTATTGTCTAATATTAACATTTTGGATGATGATCTGAAATATTGAAGTGTGGGAACACAAGCGGAAAATGCATCTTCACAGCTCTGGACACAGAGAGGAGCAACAAAACTAAGAAAAGTATTAAAGCATTGCCATCAGCTCTCAGTCAACAATAATGACAAATCCACTCAAAAAGCAGAAGTTTTGCAATCAGAAACAACTGTTCTTCAAATCTGCCTTACTGATCCGGTTTTCAGGAACGATTGGCTCTTCATTTCTTAATTTCTTCTTAGACTGTTTTGCACATCACATATGGGTTTCAATTATAAAATCATACCAGTCAGCTTTGGAAAAAGTTCTGGGAAAGTTTTCAACATTATCCTGGCATACGTAATCAGTCAATAGAGTCCTTTGTGCCACAGTTTGCTTACTGCAAGAAAATTATAAAATCTGTCTCTATTGACTTACTAAGGTAGGGGGTTCCCTGCTTTTGCAGCTTTTCCAAGTCACCCGTTTGTTTGTTTGTCTGGTGAGACCGACATCACGAGCCAGGCGGAGTTGGTGCTGCAGCTGAGTGGGTGGCACACTGGGGATGTAGTATATAAAGAGATTTTAATGAGACAGAGCACAGACTTCAGACTTTCTTCAAAACCCTGCTGCCACCGGGCTTCATGGACACAGTTCCACCCACAGGCTGGTTAAATGCCTGCAATGCCAAACCCACAGCAAGTATTTCTAAAGCCAAGAGATGAACTAAGCTATAATTCATAGGCATGGAATAACACCAAAGGAATTTATTCTGCCTGGTTTCTTTCGGTAGCGGTACAGACTGTACCTTGCAGAATCATTATTACCAATTTGATGTCCTCACACGTTTTCAGGTGGAAACCGTTGCATCATACTTGGATTTTACGTGATTTACCAACAAAGTAATGGAAAATGGTTAACTGGAAGGAAAAGGTCATAGTTTTCGAAAGATTAATAAAAAAAATTCTGGCGTTGACAGCTTAACAGAACACAGCAGACAGCCAGGGATAAAGAACAAAACTATTATTTAACAAAAAAAACAAAACAAAAAGTTCAATTAAAAGTTTGTCAAATCTGAACGTGGGCAACAAAACAAGTTCTGCTGTTAGATGAGACTTTTAGCATCACCCTATAAGAAGGCTTTTCTTCTTCTTTTGTAGGGTCAGAGAAGCTGGTTAGGGTTGATGGGAGGATGGATGGAGCTGACAAAATGCTTAAAATTTTAGTTCACAGATGCTTTCCATCTACCTGACTAAGATGAGCGATTCAATAAGGAAAAATGGACAAAAAAATGCAATCTTTTGAAGTTCAGTGCTGGTTGAGACGAACCCCAGAAGACTTGCTGCTCTAATCGCAATGAAATGAGGTTCCAAACATTGACTAATGAATACAAATGAATGTCACACTTTTCGATTTGTATCTGCAATAAAATCTAAAACCCATTTATTCTTTTCATCCCACCTTACGATTATTTGCTACTCTCGGTTAGCGTATTGCATAAAATTCCAATAAAACAGAATAAAGTTTGCGGTTTTAATGTGATAAAATCTGACATAAATACTTTTGCAAGGTAGGAAGGCAAGTCACAAGCTTGAAAAATTACAACAAGCTTACAAGAGTAGCGAACGAGACTCCTTCAAAAGTCATTTGAAGGAAAATAAGTTGGGAGAAATCCATGTATTGATATCCTCAAGTGAAAGTGATGCAACCATGCAGAGATCTAATAAGAGCAGAGTCTCATGTGTCAAGCTATTGGCTGTTTAAATGTAGCTTCATGCAGACTGTCTAATTGCTTTTTGAAGCCTGTTTTTCCTCTGGGACGTTGTTAACTTTTATGCACTGAACAAGGGTCCTTTTCGCTTTATTGTTATGTAAACCTGGAGGTAGGACATAAAACATCTGATGCTGTATTAGTGTTCAAGCAAAGACGCCAAATATATTAAAATTGTGTCACCTAATGAAGCAATTTAGAGCGGCATTTCAAAGCAACAGTATTCTGCCAAAGACTGATTGCCTCTAATTTGAAGCACGCAGCTAGTACGGGTGTTCAATCTCCTTTGGGTTAATAATGTATATCGCAGTCTGACATCACCGAGAGATGCATTCAGTCATCCTCAGCTGCGAGAAACTTTTGCACCTTTGTACTTTAAATAGAGTATCAACATGCTCAGCTTGGGGTTTCAGTACTTGAGACTATCCACCTTATATGTAAAAGCAGAGCAACACAATCATGCCTCCAGTTCCCAGATGACTGTTGTTCCTCTTCGTTAAAGGGTACATCCATTGATTTTTTTTTTTTTTGTCCAACCTCATTTTCCAGCCTCCACTCAGACTAGCTGTGTCCCTTGATGTTACAAATATAAGTGCTCATCATTACACTCAAGCCTCTTTGCTTCACCATTTTGCTAATCAATTTCCGCTCGAAAGCAACCAACACTTTCTCTACACTGAACCAGACAGAGCTGAGGGTGGAAAATGTTGCTTTTTTAATTTTTTAGAACATGTAAAGTCTCCTTTAATATGATGGATTTTCTTAAGAAAACTCATCTTACAGTCAGTTAATATTTTGGCCCCTCAGTGAAAGCGAAAAGCAGGCGGCAGCCAAGACTTGTAACTCATCATCCCACTTCTGGTACATGTTCCCCTTCATTTACTCTCATGAATGAGTAAAACATCAAGAGACGCAGAGACATGTTGGAGGTAATAACTTGTTAGTCTACCAAGGGATTTAACATAATAATAGGTGGGAAATGTTATAACTCAGTAAATGTATTGTATTTCAAAGACAACTTATTGAAGTTAATTATGGTAAATACTGTTAAATATAATTGTAATTATAGATATTTATTTGTACATGCTCACATAAATCATGGCCAGCAATGTGAGAAGGGAATATCTTTTTTTTAAAATAATATTTTTCTTTTTTACATCTCTAATCTCTTTGGCAAAAAAAGTGTTAGGGAAGGATTTTTATTTATTTAATAAAGTTAAAACTTGTGAATTCACTCCTCCCATTCCACTAGAGGGCTCTATAGTTGCTTTGCCTGGGTGAGTTGACGTGGAGAGGAAGAAAACTAACGGCGCACCAGTAGTGCGCTCAGGTTGCCGTTAGCTTAAAATAACAAGCTGAATCTGCCATAAAATCATATTTTACTGATGTTCATGAGTGTTGCCCAACGTGGTGAGTTATATTAATGCTGTAAAGCTGTAGGAGATAAGTTTTTTGTTATCTTTTCTAAGCGTGCGCTTGGTGAGTTTGCTAGAGCTAATTAGCCAAATGCTAGCTGTTGTTTGCAGCACTGTGATATTTGAATGCCGATGCTTATTGTGAAGTGTTATAAGAGTAAACTTTGCTTTATAACTGGTTAGTCAAATCAAGCCTAGCTCCTAAATCTATGTTTAAGTTTGTGTTTATTGAATATTGCAATATTAAGTATTGGCGTTATTTATTTATTTATTTATTTATTTATTTATTTATTTATTTATTTATTTATTTATTTATTTAT